TTCAAGCTTAGCTCACTTTTGAGGGGGCGATTTGCAGGTAATTATGCACCAGTTTACTTTTTTTCGCACATATACAAATAAACTGGTGCATAATTACCTGCAAATCGCCCCCTCAAAAGTGAGCTAAGCTTAAAATGGAATTTCAAGAAACGGGAACAACTAGGTCATCTTAGGCACAGGGCCGTGAAAAGTTAAAGAAATACTGGTTAGTCAACTCATAGGACTGACCAAAACGAGCTTCGGGCGAAATGGAATGTCATTATCTACCATGAATTCACTTGGACTGTAATGGCGTCGATCACTGATGAACAGGGTTTTTTTACTCAGAGTGGTGACGCGGGTTTTGAGGGTAATTGGTCAAGCTTATTGAAAAACCAGATTATCTACTATACACACTGTATTACAACCTTCCATGAGAATGTATTGATAACACCTCCTGTGATCAAAAAGTTCACTGATGCAAGTGGTAATGTTATAATTAGAATTCTTTGCGGTTCATGATAACAAGTGTGTTTGAGTGACAATATACTGTTGCAGAATTGACAGGGGGATGATGCTTATTGAACCGTCTCCTCGCAGAATATGATGCCCAGAGATTCGATGCCGGGGAATGAAATGGAAAGTCTTTTTTTGTAAAGTCCCTCTTATTATTGGTTTAGATACTACTGATGACCTCTTCACTGGTATGTGCAATGGCGCAGATGTTTAGGCAAGCAGAAAAATAAGAAAGCCTCAGTAAGATTATCTGAACTTCGAATGGGTTTTGTGGTGCGCAAAAATTGAAGTGTTAACTTTTATAAAAATCGTGAGTTGTTGTATACCTTATGCGGATCAAAATTTCTTGAACACCCAATCATAGGTTCCAAAGAGGCAAGGGGGATTTTTGGCAGACGTGAGCAAATAAACCTGAGTTCGTCACAGCTAAGCGTATAACTTGGTGCGTCATGCTCCAGAGATTCTGGCTTTAGGCTCTGCGCCTTATTGGCTATAAATTCATCTACCATGCAGACAATTATATAGTGAACATTTAAAAAGACCTGACGTATACAATGCCTTTATGCTTTGTCCGAGAGAACTGCTTACTACTCACTCTTGAGGCAGAAACGACATGACACAAATGGATCATTATGAAAGCAGATCCGCGTTCCATTTCCCCCATGTTTTGAAGCATACATATATTTTGTTAACTCATCCCAAATCCTCTGAGCATTCTTAGCGTCGAGTATCGTTGCTTTCACTCCATTTGGTCAACGGCCACAATTTTTAATACCATAGTATAGGCTACAAATGTACTGTTTCCAGTGGTCACTTTTGGTAGCTCTGACCTAAGTGGCTGCCCGGTGGAAGAGAGAGACTTTTAAGAAAAGATCAAGGCCCTCTGTAAAAGCCCATCTTGGGCAGCCGTTATTTGAGAGAAGGAACACCATTCCGTCCTGCATGAAAACGGGGACGAATAAAGTAACATAAAGGCACAAGTATCTTCATTACTTTTGCAAATGTGGTTGTGATCTACTCCGGTGCAGGGGGTATGTTCTCATCGACGGACCTTGTGCCAGGTTCTGAGTGACAGAAAACATGTCTTAAGATTGCCAGACACGGTAGTCAGACATGTTTTGGAACAAAAACAAGCTTTCGTTTGCTTGTTTCTGATGTTGGAGACTATTATTGGTGTTTTTTCAACGTGCGAAAAATTGACGGGGATAAAACTGCTCTATAAGTTGTCTGATTCGATGTATATATTTCTGGAAACTTTTGATGTAAGGTAAAATAATTAGGCGCTTCTTCTTGTAGAAAGTATGCGCATTCTACCTTTACCAATTTAATGCAGTTCGTTGTGTCTTCTCTAAATATTGACCGGAAACTCCCCGAGCATTTCTTGAGAAAACGAGGGGCGACTTCTGGCTTCACCGTTTCAGTTTGTATTTTTAGGGGTTGGGTTAGTGTTAGGTTGAAGAAAGTATATGCACTATCACAGTTAACCAGACAAATAAGATGCCATTATTTCTTATTTCTTTATTCTCGGAAAGGTGATAGCGACTACCTACACTTCTGTTTGTATTCTCAAAACCATGAGCTAAACCTCAGACACAAGCCTTTTATAAAAGAGCAACAGCCAGTAACTTAATATAACTTACCTGTTTTTCTGCAGGGTAATTGTACAGTTGCGCTATCCACATATCTTCTAGTGGGTCATATGTGAAGATGGAACAACTAATTTTTCGGATGGAAAGAGGATATTATGGTGGTTAATTTTACATCATTTTTTGGTTATGCTGACTGAAACTCACCTCACTGTGCATTGATTACTGACGTATTTGTAATCCCATCATCAAAGGATTACAAGGGGTAAAGTCGGATAAATGGTAAAGCAAAACAAGTAAGAAACCAAGCCAGGCTCCATGTAGTGAATAAATTGTCGGGCGGAGTAGCATTGTTATGGAAGTATTATTTTTTGAAATTGGGGAAAACCATATTTTTAGTGAAACATATATTACAAGAGAGGAGACGCTTATTAAAGGATCTATATTGGGTCTTCTTTGAAACTTTTCAGTTAGTTTCCAAGCCTATACACAAATTCGCTTGGATATTTCGAAAGAAACTCGTATAAAGGTTATTTTTAAGTCAAAGCGAGGGAAAATAGATACAATGCTACGTCACTCAGCCGGGCTGCAGAAAATTCTGTCAAGAATTATGACCTACTTGTAAAATCTCTCTGGTCCAATTATCCATGAAAATCGAAATTCGAACAGACGTACCACTCCCGATTTTGATTTGGCCTGGTCAAAACAACCTAATTAGTGAAGCAGGTTAGAAAATAGTAAAATTTAAGTAGTAGCGAGGGTTCCCTTTATGGGCGTCTATAGGACCTTCACCTGGACTTCAAAAAAGGGATCCGGGTAGCTCACTGTGCTACTAGATTACCTAGCCCAAACTGCACATCTGTGCTGAAGTTTCTCGTCTTCCATATATTGTCTTCTTTGTCCTCGTTCGTCAGGATATTTAGACGGGTCTTCTTTTTACCTAGAAATTCTGAGGTGGAATAATAACCAGGCGTTCTGAAATATACTGTGAAAGGAGTATGGTTAACGAACCCTCGTACCTTCAGCGTTACCGAAAGTCGTGAAAGCGAATACAGAACTGTAGAGACAAAAGGGTTGCGAGAATATTGCAGTTTAACCTTCGTATGAGCGGTATGGACAGTGACAACCCGAATAAACGATAGTAAACCTGAGATTATTAGACTGTTTCAAAAAATTCCATGTTTTTCTCCAGTGTGCTATAAGACCAGTTTGACTTCCATTTCGTCCCATTTTGGAGAACTACGTCGCCTAACACTTATAAGGCAAAGACAAATTTACTTTAGACCAGCAACCTGAGGTAGTTTCGCAGATGTCTATTTTGAATGAACGCAGAAACCAGTGGTCGTTATACAGCTGCCACATTAACTAATAAGATCGGCGCGTTCTTCGGTGTGACTAAAACGCGAGCAAACATTTTCCGGGAAATACCTAAGTAAACTAACGTGCACGTCAGTAGCTTAGAACTCTCCGCTACTCTACAGTGCCAATATAACACCCGACCAGTTTAAATTATTACAGGCTGGGGATCATTTTGCACCAATTAGGATGCAGAATCGCATATTCTCTGTGGAAAGGATGCATATTGGATCATTTTTGTATGTTTAAAACCCCCGTGAGTGCATGTCAACGTAAATACTGCTTCAGACAAACGCTTCTTTCGTTTTCAAAGTACATTGGATTCAGCGGACGTTTAGTACTTTGAAGAATATAATATGTGAAAAATATATTTTACTAAATCACTTTGATTTGACCACAGTTAAGTTAATTTCATTGCCATCTGGGAACATAGACGGCACAGATCTGAGGAAAACGTCTCCCAGTTTATGTCTAGGAATCTAGAAGTTCTTATTAATTTCGCTCTCCTTTGAAGGGTCCTCTTCTCTTCGGGTACAATTATTCTGGTGGACTAAAGAGAAGAACCACTGAATTTGAGTTTGATGCTCATCAGTAGTGTATATCTTTGTTTGTGCAGTGTAGTGAAGCATTGGCGTCATCTGTAAATTTCCTTAAGTTTCGGGCTGTCGGCTCACTCAGTATAGCACCGTGTAGGTGTTAGCGGTTCTAATTTCCTTAAGTTTCGGGCTGTCGGCTCAACTCACTCAGTATAGCACCGTGTAGATGTTAGCGGTTCCGCCCATTAACACGTTGTCGAAATACAGTCTACGCACACAGCCTACATCTACATTTACTTTTCATATGCAAGTAAGATGTCTTCTGAGGGTTCGCTATAAATATTGCGAACAAAGAGAGCCACTGCCCGGTATTAATCCTAATAGTGTTAAAACAGCGCATGGTGTGGGAAATTGTTTTACATTTTGCTCAGCCACAAAGCAATCACACCGCCCAAGCGTGAACATGTTTGCTTGTTCAGACGTGAAAATTCAGATGCGTCCATCTTGCGCTGGTGAAGAAGTGGTAACACACTCCCCACGCACGTCAGACGTCCCAAGTTTATGCCCCGATACGGCTAAGGGTGTGAGCCGCTGGTGAGTTCTAATATGAGTGAAACGCGAATAGGTGCTTTCCTCTTTAGGGTGGAGTCACCAAGTAACATCACTGGTATAGGACGGCGACTGTGCAAACGAAAATGTGTGTAAATTCTTGAAACGTCGCAAACATCTATTAGAAAACACTCCATCTGACATGTGGGAACGTACCTGTCGAATTCGAGAACACAACGTATCATTGTGAACATCGTTTCTAGGGTGGTAGTTGGTGAGACTTGCCACAAAACAAGACTGGATGAAATGAGGTGGAATTTGTGCTGGAAGAAGTGGGAAGCAAGAAAATTGGCTGTTAGAGTCAATGAGGAAGTTTGATAATGGCGCGAATATTCAAGTGGGAATCTCCTTCTAGGCAAAAGCAGTGGTTTTGATGTGTTACAGAAATTTTATTCAGTTCCTCTCTAATGCAGAGCAGCGAGAGTAGTCAGTCATTCAATTGGTAGTAGGTAGGTAGTTGGTAGTAGTACGATCCTACGACAGAACAGTTAATGTGCGTACATAATATGAATTCACGAAATCATTTTAAATCACGTCATCAATTTGGAGATACATCCTCCAATCGTTCTTTACCTTGTTAATACCCAAAGGCTGTTTTGTCGTGACAACTATGATAACAAGAATCCCTTTGGATTTATAAGTTCAACCATACCTCAGTTATTGATCTTTTTGCACACAACAAGCCGGGGAAGTCCAGAAGACAGACGATAGTTGAGCAATTACCAACATACGTATCAAGCGTATCGTTCCAGTCATCGTATCATAAAACTCAAGGTTATTGTTCAACCATACCTCAGTTATTGATCTTTTCACACACAACAAGCCGGGGAAGATCAGAAGACAGACGATAGTTGAGCAATTATAAACATACGTATCAAGCGTATCGTTTCAGTCATCGTATCATGAAACTCAAGGTTATGTTCTTCAAGATCGACGGCTTCGGGTTGTTTCTATGAAGCATTTTATAACGACTAAAATGCACTTTTAGTTACTCCTCACGTTTAGTCAGTCCTAGTGGACTTAGCTCCGTTAATACTGAGGCCCATCCGTTGCTTGCAAACCGAAGTCCTTATGTTGATTTTACGGTATTCCCCTTATTATTCCGTATATAATCTAACTCTGTTTCAATCCTACCTGATGAATCTTCTGATGCAGCTTCACCTAGCCTTACATCTAAAATTGGGGACAGCCGGTTGTGATTGAAATGGTCCTCAACCTGAAAAACACGACGTTGCTTTTCTTTTCGAGAAGGTATAATTTGACCGATTATCCAAGTTCAAATGATGTTCAACGTTGCGTGCTACTCAAACTTCTGTCAAAATCTTAATTTTGACATTCTGTGCCGCGTTTGGATAGAACTTTCTGCTTTCCCACTTTTCCATCTGCCTGGAACGGTTTTCTAATATCTGCAGTTCACAAACCCCAAGTTCCTGTCGCCGACTGTTCGAAGTGTCTTTACGGATCTATTTGCTCTAGAATGCGTTGGATTGGAAATACTGAAGTATCATTATAAAAACTTACAAAACTATCCCTGTTCCTCGTAGACTACGACAATCCAAGCGTGCCAAAAGATTTTATTTTTGGATTTTTTGTCTGTTTCTTTACTTCTTACTGTTTTCCTTCGTAAACTCATTGACATTTATAGCCCGCTCAGAAGTGACCCTTTTATACTTGTGGCAGGTACAAAAACGGTTTTGCTGACCAGTAAAATGACTTTTGAAGGAATCGATTTATTGCTTCCTTTCTTCCGTATCACAAAAATGTATTCGCGTTGGTAGGTCTTACTGTCTCTTCTCTGAACCCCTGGAGAATAGCTGAACAGATAGAAAGGACACCACCTTTAGACATGTATATGTTGACGGTCTGCCATACGAAAAGTTCACTCGTAAATCAGTTGCTGAAGTTGAGATGGGTGTTAAAAGTGGGTTTGCAAGGATATGTATGTGCATATATATTCTTGCAATCCTGACAGTTATTTATTGTCCACTTTGCAGTGAAAATAATCTGATTGATACAAAAAACTGGACAGAGAATGTATTGCCATATGTAGGTATTTATGTGACTACAGTGTAAGTAAAATTCATAATGCATTCTATTCACACACGGAAACGATGGATTTTTTGATGAAATTTTGTAACTTCCTTTGTATCGCCACTTGGCGAGTAAACCACTGCGATTCTCATCTGGTTTGACTTTTTACAATTCGCGATATCGGCAAAGAAAAAGAAACTCCTTGAACATACTCGATGAGTGGTAGTTCTTTTGATATGTTATATCGACGACTTGAAGGTTTGCTGCGCGCAAACCCATTACGAAGGCGTGCCTAGTAGTTGGGATATAAAATGAAGCCCAGAACATAATATGACTGGCCCGAAAGAAAACGTATTACAGAGTTGGATTTTCAAAGATCGGCTTTTGTAGGTCCAAGACTGTATCCGCATAACGAATTGCTTCATAGGGAAATGTGACGCTGTCGATAGTATGTTTCTCTCACAACCGTCACTCTCAAATTACTAGCGTTTTGTACTGTACTGTGAGAGCCTAGCGACATATAGGCTGTCTCCATAGGTTTGCGAACTTCAAGCACTGAGACGTGTTATTCCAAGAAATCTTCTGAAAGGTATGCCCAGCGTCAGCGGTGAAAAAACAAACCACGTTTAAAATAAGGCCATAACACAAGTCGCTTTCTGCTACTCTGTGCGACGGTTTAGTTCACTATGCTACAATTATGCACGTAAGTCTTGTGCAAATGCCGGGATTTTTCCTTCAGAATAAAGAAATAGCTAAAAATATAATTGACCATTCGGTTGATTGTAGCCTGGAAAGTCTTCCAAAGTACATTTAACTGGGAGAACAGGGATTAATATGAGTGTAGAATTAAAGTAATTTTTTATTGGGAAATTCCTGGTGTAAGTGAAGTCAGTCTAGCTGAAAGATGAGAAGCGATGCACAGCTGTTCCATTCTTTTTGAAATCATCGAGAATGCGGATCTCGCCAACCTCATGTAATTTCGAACTAGCAACTTCCCGAATGATAGCTGAAGACTGTTATTCGACCACGAGATCACGTGGTGCGATTGAAAAATGGATGGCGTTATACCTTGTCTAAGTTCAAGTTAATCGTATAACTAATCGGCGGGTTGCAGCCAAACAATTCGGTCTTCTGTTACTAGCCAGAATCCGCGAGCACAAATCACCCTGGAGATTCGCAACCAATAGGGACGAAAATGCTGTATATTGTTTAGTTTTCGGCATAGTTTGGATTCAATTGTAGTAAAAAATCTTCATTTCCAAATCTCTCCAAGTTATTAAAAGGTTATTATCACTAACAGAGATTTCATTGGTTAAAGCTGTCATCTGGAAATGCCCCAGATTGATAGACTTTTTTCCTTCTGTCTTCTCATTCAAGGCAACTTCTTCATTCAAAATATTCATTCCGAATACTTTCACAAGTACTACAATGAGTCACACTTACTGGTTCAGGGAGCAGATGGAGCCACTCCGCCAATGGCTAAAAGTCTTCTAGCTGGGGTGTTAATAATTCTGAGCATTCCTTTGTATCCGTGGGCCAGCTGAGAGTGCAACTTAGCCAAACTACCAAGTATGATGTGATTTTTGAAGATCTAGCTATCCCCCAACTTCCTTTAAATTGGCGTTACTGCAAAACTCCTTGAAGAAGAGGCTACTCCTCAGTGTCTTCCGTTGTTTACACGCAGTTTACTTCTGTTCGTGTAAAACAGTGTTCCTAAAATACTCAACGGGCCTCATTCCTAGGGTTAACTTCTGGTTTGACTAACGTGGCTTAGAACGCCACCGAGGGATACGCTTTTTATATTTAATTAATAATATTTTAAGGGTTTTGCTAAGACAGACAGCGAGCAAAGATACCTTCCATGTAGAACCATCCCAAGTCTTGTCCATTACTTATGGTACAAAAGATAAGGGCTTAATGATCTAACAGTTTGTCGACTTCATTTGACTGTGGGCAGTGAGTAGCTGACTCAGTAGCTGATTTATCCCGGAATGTTGGTTGGCCACTGCTGTTCAGCTTCACAAGGGTTGGGCATCTGGAGTAACTGCGGGAACGTGTTTATTCTTTCCATTAATGCCGACTCTTAAGATATTTTCCAGAGAAATCCTGTGAACACCACTGGATTGGGCTTAACGGAGGGTATCACAAAACCAGAGAAGCGTAATGGTTTGGAATTTTGGCAACACAAATTTTTCTGTGAGCCGACTTCAGCGTTTCGAGCCGTCTTTCGTGCAGTACCAAAAAGGCCCTCGATGGAAACAGCCGTGGCCATCTTAATTCGCCTCTGTAAACAGACTGTACTCATTTTATCAACCAAAATAGTTCACTCAATATTTTATACTACATTGGGCAATCCGAAAAAAGTTTTTAATGTTGGGCAATGTTTGTCGTGTGCACTACACAGACTTTTCAGTCATCGTTTTCTAAAATTGTGCCTTTCACGGAATGTGAAATTATAGTTGTCTGATGACGTCTTTTACGGACGGATTGCTTCACATCCCGCCTATTTTCTGTCCATTTTCGGCGAGCACATTCACCAATTTTTTTGAAATTTGGTGTTTCGCAATGTGGACCTCAGATCTGGTGACTTGGACGCCAAGTATTAGTTAACTTCTGATAATAAAGTTACATAAGGTGGGGAAATCATGAAGACCAGAGTAGCTCAATTATTTTGCCATAAATCCTGAAGCTTCACTACACCCAATCTTCCAAATACATGTTAGGGGACCAGTAGGACTGGTAGCCCACTTAACTGATAGGAAAACATAATTCTATGCTGTTCCTCAGGCTGGGAACAGGATTGGTTCGGTTTACAAATTGTCCGGACAGGGGCTTTTAGTGTCTCATCTATCAATGAGAGGAACCACAGTTCATCAAGCATGCTTTCCAGTGCCAAAAAGGGCAAAACAGGTCGTGTGCTATCGACTAGTTTTTAGCAACCCTTTTAGTAGCTTCCTTTATGAAAACATACTGCAATATCTCAAATATATGACCAACTGAAACATGATGTGGCCTGTGTGCAGCACATTTAGTTGATGAAAACCATAAACGAGAGATTCAGTTGAGTCCCCCGTGAGAGCCAAACTGATCTGCAAATGAGTGCATTTGTCGAGATTAGTCCAATTTGGGTTCAGGTGGAACATAAGGTTCACGGAAACTGGGGATCTACGCTCACCTGATGACCACCAAGAGGGGCAAAACCTGTCGTGGGCTGTCGACAAATTTTCAGCAGCCCTGTGAGTAGTTTCCTTTACGATGATATTATGATCTTCATCCGGCTGGGAGCAGGATTAATTTGGTTTAAAAATTTCCCGGGCAGTGGCTTTAAGTAATCCGGCTAATTAATCACTGGAAATCATTACAGTTTATCAGGCATACCTTCCAGCTTATCATTAAATCTGTACCCTGCTGGTTGTAACTGTGACCAGTTGTGAGGAGTTCCTCCAAAGCGGACCATTCGCTCTCCAGTTTGTGTTTGACATCGTCCGCCAGGGTGGATCTACTGAACAAAATGAAATGTTGTATGTGACAAACGAACAAAACATAAAACATTGATCTGAAAATCCCGAATTTCAAAAAAAGAAACAGTATGCTAAAGTGGCTTCTTTAACGACAGTAACATCTAAAAATAATCAGCATTGTGGAATTTTCTTTGAGATCACTCCTGTAGAAGAAATCCTTCCCAGAGTTATTTTATGGATGTTGAGATAAACCCTAGGTCACATTTCCGACGAACCCAAAATAAATGGGGGTGGCAAATTTTAAATAAATCACTAGTTCATACAAACGCGGAGGATAAAATTTTTGACAAAACTCTCTTTTTATTGTTTTATTCATGGAGGATTTTAACTTTGCATGTTTTTGCATGACTCAGTGAAGAGCTAAATATGGAACTTTTTGATTGGTTGATGAATTCAGTTGCAAGTCATCAGATATGAAATCGGAAGTGAATATGACAAGTTCGGGCTCACACTTAGACTACTGTCTCCAAATTTTGCTACTAAAAACAGCTGTGATTGAGAATTTTTTGCAAACCTAGTAGCTTCTAAACATCGGCGTGTGTATCCTAGATAAGGAGAGCTAAGACATAATGTGAAATGCAGGTGTTATGAGTTAAACTTTACTTCGTTATGCCCTTCACGTGACCAACTCTTGCTCAACTGTAGGCTTTTCGCATCTCTTTGAACCACTCCCAGCTGCACAGTCCTGTTTCTGCTCCATAGCGACCGTTCTTGTTCTTCCGCACAATTGTGTAAAAATGGACTCGATCAGGAATTCTTGCTCATCACCCCAATAAATTATGAGCATTAGTGATCAAAGCGTTATCAGCAGTTAACCAGCTGCACAGTCCTGTTTCTGCTCCATAGCAACCGTTCTTGTTCTTCTGCACAATTGTGTAAAAATGGACTCGCTCAGGAATTCTTGCTCATCACCTCAATAAATTATGAGCATTAGTGATCAGGGCGTTATCAGCAGTTAACCGGAGCATTGCGAAGTGTCAGGGTTTTCACGCGTCATTTTTACTTTCACTAAATACCAACCTGCACCTTGGGTTTTCGAGACATAGCCATTACTGAATAGGAACCCTACAAGGAGGGGCAAAGATTTCTCGCCTTCGATCGCCACTGTACATAATCTGAAAGTCGGTATTTGTTGGTTAAACGGGTTCATAACATGGGATGTACGGGGCATGTTTCACAACTTTCTGACACTCGAAACGTTGAATTGGAACTCGCGGATTTACGTACAACCTTTAAATGAACTCTTGCTTAGCCTCAAATTTATTATATGCTCCCGTTGAATCCTGCGGTTTCCTGAAACCCAAAAGCTTAATATTAAAAATCACAAGCCGTACTCCTGATTAAGCCATCTTCGGTGGAGCCGTGAGTAACCGGATCTTACTACATATAATTTCAGCAGCAAGAGGTTAAGGTATTTATAACACATAGATAGCACAGTATAGGGAGTAGAGGTCCTGAAAGTAGTTTGGTGCAAACCAGCTATCTTGGGATGGTCGCTTGTCAGACAAGAATCTGTTATCCACAGGATTAGCAGCAGCCTACGTGATGCTTGTGGCGTCACATACATTCATATTGCACTCCAGTATACTTTGGACAGTTGCAACTCACCTGCTCGTGGCATCAATTTTGCTGGAAGTGTATTGGACCATACCGACCACAACAAGTGAGCCGTCCGACTGATCACCACAAGCCCAATCAAAGTCGACGTATCCGATCCCACCATTTGCTTTGCATTTCGCGGCTTCTTCGGGTTTTCTTACCGTGAACAAACTTAGCAACTTCCACTTTCTTTCGGAACGGGAATGTGGATCTGCAAGTAGGGTTCTAATGGTGTCCAGCTGGTTAAAAAGACAAATATCTATGATCAGCGCAGTCCAAACTGTACTCTATTGTTTAAAACGCCGATTTGAGAAATTATTAGACACGGAATCTCAGGGAATGCTGATATTCACTCACAAAGCACAATACTGAAGCTTGTTACAACCCTAAGTGTCTTTCTAAAACTTTCTCATTTTTGGCCACAAAGAAAACCGATACCCAGAGAAAAATGTCTCTAAACTTGTACACTTTGGAAACTTTAAAGTGGCGCGCCAAGATGTGGCTATACATGTATTTTCTAATGTTTATCAGGAGTGTCCGACTTTGTAGTCTTTTTTAATCTCGCGGATCAGTTTATTCGAGGTGGGGCCAGTACGAATAAGAGGCTATTTACTTTATGATATATACAGGCAGAGCAGAATAAAAACTAAAAACTTGACGTGCAAAATAAGCTTCCTGGCAAGCGCATTATATTGCATATCATCAACAGCTAGCCAGCAGAGAAACTGATACACTGATATCCGTACTAGTATACATATATATATATATATATATATAAGTACGTATGGATAAACTTATTGCTTAGAATTGACTGTATTAAGGACCGAATGACGAATAACTGGCATGCTTTTGATTCCGTTCCCTTTGTAGAATTCCCCGGTTATGAAGAGTAGGTTAGGGGAACGAATAACTATCGGCTTTGCGCTTCATCGATGTAACAGCATAAATGACATTTAGTAATGATAAAATTTTTGACCGGTTTGAAGAAGATGAATCTGGCCGGTTTGTAGTCTCCGCTTCAATGCTGAACCAAGTACAGTCGGATCGCTTGACTTATTGCTCCATTAGCCTATAATTCACAAGTCAAAGCGCAAAATGTCCTGCTGTAACTGTCAGCCCATTGCACCAACTAACTTTGCTTAGAGAATATGAGGGAATATAATATGATCTAACATACAAGTCTGCCTCTGCATTTGGTGGTGCTTCCTGAGAGGCCCAATATGGAGAGTAACTAAAAGCGACTTCACCAGTAATCAAAAGGTCGATAAAAATTTGGAAAACGTACTACCGTGTCCGACTTATTTGAAGCCGGTCAGGTGGACCCATTCCTCAACTCAATCGCCAAGGTTAATTCGACAATGCATACTGACTTGTACAATCATTCTCCAATTAATCCAAAGATGACGGAAGATTGTTGAGTGGGACCCATTCAACTGCGCACTGATGGTGTCTCCTCGTATGGTAACGAAACGTTTGCAAGCCAATTGCCAAGCTCGGCGAACAGATCAACAGCCACCTGATCAACAACCAATAAACTCACCCGAGCTACCAATATTTCAACAAATTACCAGTTCTGACCTTAAATCATTACGTTTGTGTGCATACAATGTGAAGCTTGGGAGATCTCATTACATCCATCAAGGGACATTCTACAGATCTGGACCAAACGTAACGTTTTAGAGCAGGTCGTGGCTACTAGTGAAAGGAAGCAGGCCTTCGCTGCGGAGTTATATTTTTAGAAAATGGCAACTGACCATTTACAGACTATTGGACAGGGAAGCAAAACTCTCAAATGCATCTTATTCATAAAAACAAGAGATCCATCTTCTCTTGAACTTTCTCGGATATTCATTGACTCCAATCATTCATTGCTCAAGTTTTAGCAAATGCTACGAGGCGGCTCCACAAATTCCGCCACAGGTCTCCTCTCTTCAAGAGACGCAGAGCGGATTTCTAAGAACAACACATACTACCCGCATGCCTTCCCATCAGTAGTCTCACCGTTACACTAGGACCATCTTTGGTTGTCGCGCACGTAAACTGTTTTTACAGAACCAAATAATTTGCAGTAAAAATACTTTTCAACCATGCATGGCGCATCAAAATATAACCAGGCTAGTCGGTTTTGAGCAAACTAATGAATGACATGGAGCGCACAGTTTTGCCTGGTCTAAAAAACATGGAAAATCGAGTTGGTTATTCTGATTCAGACAGATTATGTCAAAAGCGGGACAGCAGACACCTTGTTCCAGGTGGCCGAACAAATCATGTGCAAATTGTTTCTCACTCTGATGGTGTAAACATAAAAATCGGAGGTGTAAATGCTTTCCTAGGAAATATCAAGGAGGTGTGAATGTTAAAAACAACTCAGGAAAGCTTGAGCTAGAGCTCGCATGAATGACGAGCTCGCCATGTTACGCGGTTAGAGATATCATAAGGGTCCGTCAGACTATCTCGTGAAATATAAGATCTAGATTAAGTGGAGAATTAACAAAAACTGTCTACAGTTTTTGGCATTTAGCCCGACACGTTGTTGGGACCAATAAAAATTGCCTTTTCTACATGGTCTTGGAATATTTGCCGGACAACATAAGCCTTTGGCTAAACAGCCTCAAGAGTTCAGAATATGGGGCATTTATTTGTGAAAATAAAAGGACGTTTAAATCCACGTCTAGTTCTCCCTGGGACGTTCTCATATCTATCATTTAATCAGAAGAACAGTGTGGCCGTCTGGGTTTCCGTGCTAGGTCCCTCTTAATTGCGTTACAGTTGCAGAAAGCAGATTTACCTGTCTTGCTCAAGTTTTTATAGAGTGGAGGGGATCAGAATTTTCACAACTTCAGGTTGAAGTTTGACTGATTTGTGCACTATTTGTTGGGCACATGAACAAGTTGGACAGAGGTAAAAACAAGTAAAATTCGAAGTTCGAGTTGAAGAATGTAAGATTAGTGGTTATTTTACTAAGAAAGAGAAAGACATTGAGATTGCCTGCTCTTACACACAGCTTTACAGCTGTAAATGCGTCCTAGCAGCAACAACTGCGATTGGTGCGTTATCACTTACGGCAAAAAAGCCAAACTAGAAATTCCGGCTTTCCATCAATAAAATCTGGATATTATTTGGGAAATTTTGTGCTTCCAACGGCTGATGATCATGATGTTTTACGTGCTGCGCGAAAAGAAATTTGACGAAGGCGAAGCAGCAAGCATGAAAAAAGTGAAATACGACTGTTTTTAAGGAATGTATCCAGTTTCGCGCGATGGAATGTATGGCCTGCAAGATCGCGCTCAACTTGTAAAATCTCCGATCTAGAATCTAAATAACTACATACGTAATAGAGTATGAATAAGCTCCTTTAGTTGGCACAATTAACCAGAAGGAAGGTAACTGTCTTAAATGGGTTTTAGGTGGTGGCCGAAATTGTAGAATTTACGCTGATACTAGTCACTTGAACAGTCGTCCTCCACTTAATATATATGCGTTCCACACCAAAAGGGGGAACCACCGGACTCGAGTTTCGTTCATCAGCGGCGGATATTTTTAGTCGTGCTGAAGTTTGAATTTCAGACGTCTGACATGCAAGGCAAACATGTTAGCACTACTCCACCAGCGTATAATAGACGCATCTGAATTTTCACGTTTGAACAGGCGAAAATGGTCAGTCTTGAATGGCATGATTGGTCGTCCCGAAGGTTCCAGCGATGGCCCAGTGAGTGGCCTGGTTATGTCAATCGACTGGTCCGCCTGTCAGGAGTCCCCAATCAGGTAGCGTCAGACTGTTGAAAACTGCTGAATTAGGGGAGTGGTGTAACACGCTCACCTCTCTTCTCAGGTGTGCAGACTTCAAGCCCCGGCAAGGCCAGGGCTTATTAGAGCTGACCAGCTCTAATAAGATAGAAACTCGAGTCTGATGGTTTCCTTCGTTTGGTGTGGACTCACCAGAATACCTGTACCAGGACAAGAGGATGACTGTTCAAACAGAATTGATGTAAGCGCACACGATCCTAAATATTGCGTATGCATGTATATAACGTCGAAGAGACAAGACAGATAAAATCCTGAAAATGGTTTTGTCCAATTGTAAACGCAACAGATCGAATTTATTTGTGCTAAAGTTACATTCATAAGTAGTGATAGGTAAAATGGGGGGGCGGTAAGGAAACAGTCCACTGATGACCAGCGTTCCTTTCTTTTCAAAACAAAGTGAGTTTCAGGGAGATAAGCTCAAAAATGTTTCATGAAAAATCAGAACAAGCAGCCACCAACTTCGGCTTGTCAGTTGCATGAAAAACATTTATTGAAATTGCTCCTATCATGCGTTAGTGGTTGGGACTTGCCTCGCGATGATCACTGATGAATTGAACAGAACCATCCAGTAAGTTTCGATTTCTCAGGTATTCCTTAGTCTGAAATCATAGAGGAAGGAAGCGAGTAGATTAGTTGGTTTCATTGGTGTTCAAAAGATATTTCGTTCTGTAGATTCACGCCTGCAGTTTACAATAAACTTGTAGTATCTCGAAAAAAGCATGCTCAATTCGTGTGCCCCAGTAACAAGAACATTTGTTTCCACATGAGTAATTTCGTCGAATAGAGTTTTTAAATTTCTGTTTCAGCTCAGGTCGCGACAGATCGGCAAATCGTGACAAAGCGTCAGAGAGTGATCGAGTTCATACTGACTAATTTTGGAGTCACTATCTGTATACTTTCATCCTTTTATTCTGAAGCAAGCTCATCACGACTAACATGCAACCAAGTGATCGCTTTTACAGTGAGGTGGACAATCTCAGTGTACTGTCGTAATTCTTCATGACGTTTTCGGGTTATATCTGCATTTCTAGTGATTCTTGATCTTTTACGCTTTCTGTTGAATTGTTTTTCCACCGTGTCTGAGATTTAGTCTGGTCGTTTTGATCCTTCGGATTTATACCAGGCTGAGCAGATCGCGCGTTCGGGAACGTTCTGCGGGATTTCATTCGGATGCTTCAACTATGCCCACCCAAATAGTCAGGCTAGGTCGCATTAGTTCCACAGATGTACAGCAAAATGTCGAATGTATTACGTCATAAAGGAGTGATTCAGCTATTTTTCCATGTGTCTTCCGTAAAACCAAATTGGTTTGTAAATGGGCATATATCGCCAACAACAAAGGCGATTCACCGGCAAGCTGAGCCGGACCGTTGGTCTCCTTGTCCTCTGATATTGACAGCTATCCTAAAAACTATCCATTATTTTCAGCACA